TTCAAGTAACTGCTATAAATGCTCTCTAGGATGGCTGTGCATATCATGTGTAATTTTCTGAGTTTACCTTTTAGTGGCTAGAAAATAGCTTTTTAAAGAAAGTGAGATTTTTTTTTTTCCCAGTGGGAATATTGTTTTAAAGTTTTGTATTTAATGTTTGGGTTCCTATTTAATTTTTTATTCATATTTTTGCCCTGATTGAATTTTGATCACTCTTTTTTGGGTAAAATTGGTGGGAGGTGTTCATAAAAATCATTATGCTGCAACAAAGGAGTTGAATTTCATTTGGTACTTGCTTAGGCTTAGTTTTACAATGTACATGTGGATGTACAATGAGCTGAACCTCCAGGGAAGTCCTGTAAATCCCTGCAAGCACAGTACAGTTCACCTTAATATTTAATCTAGCAGTGAGCTTCCTCTGAAGAGGATCCCCTTTTCTTTCCCCCAGTGATGGCTAATCCATGCCTCACCCAATTAATTCATTTTCTGTCCGTTCTGAAAGCTGAAGTAGCCTTGTTGCTGCATAGATAAAAAAGATAGGGGGATAGGATGCAGTAGAGGAAACTGAACAGGATGAAACAGCAGTGAAAGGTTAGGTCATGCTAAATGCAACACAAAGTGAACCTCAAGTGTTGATGGTTTGGATGGTGGACTCATACAAATTCCTCAGGAAATATTAAGGACCCTCTGAGCTAAGAGCTCTACAACCACAGAATGGTGGGCAGTTTCTTGAACTGAATCTGGAAAAAATGGAGAAGCAGGAAATCCAAGACAGACTCTCAAATCACTGAGATGCAGAGCTCTGGCCTCACAACCAGATGATCCAGTGTTCAGTGAACAAACCTCTCTCATTGCCAGAGTTAGGGCTTCTTCAAGTTTATCATGCTTTTTACTGACATCTCATAAGGATACAGTATTGTGGAAAGCAGACTTACAGAGTACAGGTAGAGAAGAGCTGAAGTCCTCAGATGTTTTCCATGACATGCTTTCATTGACAGTGACAGAATCTGTCACTATCTATTTAGCACTGAGTAACGATCTGATAAGAAACTAATTTTTGAGTTTAAGAAGGAACAAAGCCCTATTTCCCTTACAGAACTATTCAGTAGCCTGTGCAATGTGGATTGGTCTCTATTTACTCTATTTTAAATGCCTGCTTCTTCTTTCTTGATCTCTAAGTTGGCATCCTGATCCCTCATCCCTCTTATGTTGGTTTTCCCAGTAGAAATTGCTCTTATGTGGACTAGCAGTTAGAAGGGGTTGTGTAGAATGACTGGGATGGCAGTCCTCAGATAGTCTGCATTATATAAGCTGTGCTTTCCACCCAGGTGGTTAATTAAACTTGGTCTTCAGATCCCAAGACGGAAACCACTTATGTGCACACTTCATTTTAATAATGTTTTTCTGTTCCTCTGCCCCAAGAGTCTTAGCCCTATCTTCTGATTTGTCCATTCTCAAGAGAGAGAAAAGGGAATGTAAGGACAAAAGGAGAGTGTGTAGCTCTCTGTAGTCTCATTTTGGGCAAATAGTCTTGTCTGGGGGTTGTAGATTAAGAGAGGGAACATCTTACAACATCGCTACGGATTGTCTGAATGATGTGTCCTTTGAAATAGGTGCTATATCATTCCCAAAGAGGGAAAAAGTTAACAGTAGCAATAAACTATTTTATCATTCTGTGTTCCATCCTCTGCAATTGCATTACTGTTCTGTGATGATGGTCCTGCAATTTAACCTGCTTTATAACCCTGTCAGTGCCAGGATATGTATACAGATAATTGTGTGTACGATTTTTACTTACACCTTGGTAGACCATGTCATTGTTTTCAGCAAAAATTAACTTGGTATCTTAAAAACTTGGGATTTCCCTCAAACACAGCACAAGCTAAAGTCACTCTTGGTTCATGTAGTCTGAATGTGCTTCTGGGTATTTGCTACCAGGAGTTTTGGCAATTGCTTTTCAGTCCTCTGTGACACATCGTCTAGGGGTTTCCAGCTCAAAATCAGGTGCCGAAATCTTCTCTTAACTTGGAGCCTGATTTTGCTAGCACTTTTACACATGAGTGAGTGCTCCTGTGGCTGGTTGTAGCTGCTGGTGTCATAATAACAAAGGACACACCAGAGTTTCAAAAGGAAGGTCATGCAGTTGTATTGCTTTTATTGTTTAATGTGAGTTGCTTTCTGTGATACTACTTGGTCTTGAAGGTTTTCCTTGTAGTGAAGGGCAGATGGAATGATGTCTTCTACAACAGTGTATAGTAGGTGTAAAATGCTGCCAGATCTCAGCAGTGTTTTCACATCAGTTTTCCACTGATAATACCTGCAAGGTGTAAGTTAATTGGAAATAAGCCTTTATTCCTGCCTTGCTTTAGTGGTATTTTCCTTTGATCATTCACAAGCTGTTGGAGAGACAGAAATACAGAACATATTAGGCAATAGATAGGTATTTCTTTCACCAGTGTAAAACTACACCTGTTCTTAAATTAAATGATGGGGAAAGAGGAAGCAGAGGAGGAATGCTTGAGTTTGGAGGCATTATAAATTATTAATAATAATTTATAATATTAATAAGACTTAAGTGTGGAGTCTGGCAAGGCACCTGCACTGAATGCAGAACACAACAGCAGAATATAGTTAAGGAAGAGGCAACTCTCTCTTTATTGAAGAGTGTAGAGCTTCAACATTATTTTTTATTCATTTGGCCTCTCTGGAAATGTTGTGATACCAAGTTCTTTGTACACAGTGTGCAAAGAAAACAGTTTTATACCAGTATTTGAATATTGTAGTGAACTGCAGGCACTAAGGGAGGTCAAAGAAAGCATTTGGGGCTACTGTCATTGTAAACAGCCCTGTGCTAAAAACTAGGTGTGATCGGGTTACCTTGTGTCAGCTGAACCACGGTAACTAAATGCAAACATTCTTACTCCACTTTTTCAAAAGCACAAACCACTTCTGGTTTGAATTTTAGCTCTTGTCTTCTGCTTGCATTGGACTGAGGGCATGCAGAGTTAATTACGTTTCCACTTAGCAGAAGTAATAACCTTTGCTTGCTGGGGCAACCTGTTCTGGTACCAGAGCCCTTCGTGTCAAGACAAGAAGTGCTGTGTAGAAAGGTATAACATCCTTTATTAGATCACTAATAAGGGGCAGTTTAGGGATGTAATTTGGCCTTCAGTAGTGAGCCAAAAGACAGAAAGTCCCTTATGGACTCCAGTTACTCCTTGGTTCTGCACCTCATGGCAGTTCTGCTGGAGGGACATGAGTGTATTGCAAAGCCTTTCTCAGGAGTTGTGGCACACAACTGGCAATATGTCATTGATAAGTTTGAGGGGCAGAGAGGATGCTGATGGTGGACTCAGAACTGTCCACACCATCTTTTCTTGGGGCTTTTAAGTTGTTTTTAGTAACACCTGCTCTGTAAAAGAAGGTTGGCTTCCTTTGGGACTTGCCTGCAAGACATCTTTTCTGGTTTGAGCCTGGACAGAAGAAATCACATCAGAAAACTAATTGAACAAAAACTTCCAGCTGAAAGTAATCAGTTGTCATATTTCCCTGGGAAGGAAGGAAAGGTGTTTCTAAGTGGCCATAAAAGTATAAATACCATCTGTATGATGTCTTCTTATTTTTTTCTGGTTTTAGGAAGAACTTTTGGATTATGTTTAGAGACATACTGGGTACACAGACAGTTATTCTTATTATTGGACTTACATACTATGTTTGTATTACTACAAGTGAAAGACACAGCAAGTATCCAGGCCTTTACAGTCAGTTTCATCCCTTTACAATCCCTTGTCCTGGTGAGCAGAGGATAGCTTAGTCTATATTGAATCAGGTGATTTTTTGAGGAATGCCTCACACATTACTCTGCTGTTTTGCTTTTACCTAGATGCTGTTTTCATGTATGCTGCTGTCTTCTAAGGATGTGACTTAGTTTCAAATATGTCCTTCCTTAACATACAAATGTGCTGCTCTATATGCAGTGAGCACCTTGTGTCTCGTGTCAGAGATAAAGTCTGCATATCTAATAATACTGGATTTATTAGCCTGTTCAGAACCAGAAAGATAAATTTCTAGGCAAAGGATTTCAACACTACCTCTGTAGGAGAGGACACTTTCAGAATTTAGCCCTTTAAACTCATGCTCTTAGGAGACTTCTTGATTTGGTTTGTGAGGTACGTGTACTGGCATCATTATAAGGAGTTTTGTTTGTCTCTGTGGACTTTGGAAGAGTCTGAATGAAATTACCTGATGTTCACAGTGCAAGGTTCTTTAGAAGTAGTTGACAAATCACATAAGCTTCGAAGGCACAGCACCTTATAATCTGGACAAAAAAGGCATCTCTGGCCTCTCCTTTAGCTGAATGTGTGAAGGAGAAAAAAGTCCTTGCAGTTTGTTAGGGGTAAATTTCTTTTCACCTGCCTGCATGACCCTCTTTGCCCACGTTTTTGCCATGCTTTTAGTGGCATGTTGGGCACATGGTCTCTGAGGTTATGGACTGTTCCCAAATTATGTGTTCAGTTAGCCCCACTGTGTGATAGGTAGGACACATTCAACAGTCCTTCACAAATAAGAGTTTTTGTCTTGTATTCAGACCTTTAAGCCCTCTTGGAGATTTTAATGAAATGGGGAATTATGGTTTCAGCTGAAGGCTTTTTTTCATATGGTGCAGATAGCTCCTAAGGGAGCTTAGTTTATGGATTGCCTCCTTTTCCTTAAATATTAAAACATTTTATGGTGCATACCCTTTGGTTCTGGTAGATTGCAGTTCCTTTATGCAGGCAATAAGCAAAAGCATGTTCATCAATAATGATATGGCAATATACTTGATCTCCTTTCCATGTTTCACTTCACCCCACACATTAGTGGGTTGACTCTTTCTTTATGGATGAGCAGCTCGTCACGTCTTTTAGAATTTATTGTCAAGAAGAATTGTGTGTAAAAGCCCTAAATGGTTCTTAGACATCTGATAGTGTTAAAGCTTAGATTTTTCCTTTATTTTGCAGGACTCTAGTGCATGAAGGACGTAAATGATAATCCCAGAGGACCATCTGTCCTGGAGCAGGCATTGGAACCAAGTTACTATGTGACTGAAAGGACTGAGTGCAAGTCAGATGGTAAGTAAGACAAGGAAGATGAGAGTTATCATGCTGTCACTTCAGTACAGATAAAAAACACTGCCATACACTCTTTCAGAACTTATCCTAATTTTCAGGTTTTAAGTGTTTTGCAAAGCCCAGTTAGCATGGAAGGTAGTTTTTGCTAGATCTTTTCATGGTGGAGTATATATTTTAACCTAGCTGTGGTTCTTACATCATTCAGAGTCCATTTTACCTCCACTGCCTACTTGATGTCTATGCAATTCTTTCTAGCTTCTGTTTCTAAGGAAGCCTAAAGGATTGAGCCATTGTCTCTTAAAAGCTTCTTAGGAAGTCCTTTTAAAACCAGTCCATAGCTGTTTCAAGCATTTTTTCTTCTTTCTTTATAATTGAATCATGGTAAACTGTAAATAAATTAGTTTTGTTTAATCATCAAGGAAGTGGGTGTTCTCAAGCCATTCTGGACTTGTTTCTAAACATATTCTGTCTCTTACAGGAAAGTGTTTCCTGTCTGCATAGTGAGGGTTTTGAATCTGCATCCAGTGTAGATAAACCTTTTTTGGTTTTATTGGTTGGTTACTTGATTTATTTACTGGTTGTAGTTAGTGCTGCACTTGGACTGGCCTTTGGTACCTCCTTGCAGACTGATGCAGTTTCTGGTTGTTTTTATGCTGGAGGAACCAATGCATCTGGCATTGGTGGGCCCTTGGTATCAACTCCCCACTGCAAAGAAGACTCAGCTTGTGCAAAGAGGATGCTGAAAACCTGTATTAGGAGATGTTTGAAGGACAAAAGCATGTTCTCCATGCAAATAAGCTGTGAGGGAATGAGTTCTTTCTGTATAATTTACTGCTAAAAAACCCTTTTTGAACTGTAATCTTATTTATGTAAGAATCCTGAAAAACTTCAGATAACTTAGAGGTATTTTTCCTGGGCATTCCCATCTTCTTTACAAATTAGATATAAGGGGTCCGATTTGGAGAACTGAAAATCAATGCCTGCCACTCATTTGATGGCAGAAAGGAGGTGCTGTCTTTTCCGTAAGTTCAGAGAGTCATGTTAGTGTTACACATTTTGGTGCTTTTACAAAGTTGTCCAGATCATTTGAGGCCAGGGTTAAACGAAGGCCGTGAAACATCAGTGAGGTGGTGGGTTTTTTATTGAGATGATAAGTAATTGTGCAAAATAATTGCGAGTCTCATTATGTTAGGACGTGTACAAACATACAGTAAATGACACACATTTTGCCTCAAGCACTTATTCTTGATAGCATAAGTAAAAGCATGATAATTTGTTACATGACACTTACAGACTATATTAATTTCAAAGCAAGACATGAGCATCATTCTGCAGCTATACAAAATAGTGAATTCAGAAAACACTTCACTGTGCTTATCAAATTTATCCCCTTACTGAAATTTGTAGTAAAATGTAGTTAAAAGTATGGAGTTAAGATAAATTTGTTCCATCCACCAACACAGAAACCACACCCCCTCTGTTTTTAGCTGGATAGCTAAAAAAAAAAAAAATATGTGCTATAAATCCAGTATTATGATTCTTAGGGCTACTTAGTATGTTCAGAGCTCTTTCATCTTTCACTTTCTATTTCCCATCCACCAATATGACTGCTTTTAGGGAGAAATGTGTGACTAGTTTTGGTAGAATAACACTATTTATTTATTTTTTATTATTTTTTCCCCTAGTGGTTTATTAAGGGTCTTCACTTCCTCCCCTTGTGTCTTTGCTTAGGCTTTGACACTGCCCTTCTCTCATCTTGATGCCAAAATGCCCAGAGTTCATGAACCGATCCTGCAGGTTGTTCATAGAAAAGATCTTTAATCCAGCAGTGATTACTGGCTTACACTTTATATGTGGGCAATACAAAGGGAAGTTTTTCAAGCAGTTTTGTTTTTATTGCAGAATAAGGCGTGGGTAGTTCTGCCTTGCAGAAAAGCTTAGCCTGGAAAAACCTGGTGTGGGAGGGGAGAAAGAAAAGATTGACGATCATTTAACATGTGACATCAAAGTGGGATAGTTCCAGCAAAGAAACTGTGCTGAAACTTCCCAACTGAATGTGAGCTGAAGGTCATGCACTTCCTTTCATGTTAACTTGGTAGAGCCAGCATGGAAGCATTGCTAAAGTGCCATGGGAGGAATTCTGTATCTGGAGGCTACCCCAGGCAAGTGTTCTTGATGAAAAGTACCCTGGAAAGGCCTCAGTCTGAGGTGGCTGAGCAAGACTGCTTTTGGCACAAGAGGCAAAGGCACTTAGAAAGTATCAGTGATGCTAATTTCAGGAAAGGCTCAGGTGTATAAAATTCAAATCCATGTTTTTAATCTAATGGAAGATGCTCCAATGAATGTTTGAAGTAGAAATCATTCTCCAGGCATAGGACTGTAGACTGGCCCTTGTTTCAAATTTGGCAAAGAAAAGGGTATCATTCTGTTCAGCTGTCAGATACACAACAATAAACTTCAGTATTGCATAAAATACAATGCAGAATGTGGCCAAAGGTCTTCAATGTTGTAGTGCTTAAGTTGAGCAATCAATTACATTCATACAAAGAAAATGCTGTTTGCATTGCAGGGCGTAGGAGCTAATGAGAAACTTCTAAGGCATGGCTCTATTAGGGTAGGTTGGAGGGCAAATTAAAATTCTGAAAGATTCCTTTGGAAACTGTTAGAATACATTTATGCCAGCCAGTTAATACAGATGGTGAAACCATAAAATGATGGAGTAGATTGAAAAATGGTCATTTTAAGTAATCATAAGTCTACTTATTTCAGAATTGCTTAATGTTCACATGCTCACATCCAGCACAGTGCATGAAGCAAAAAACAGAGTAAGTGAAATGAAACTGGATGGTGTTTCTGGAGGCTTGAAAAGTTTTGCTGTAGCTGCACGACAGAGCCACGAGCTGCTCTTGTGCGGGTGGGAAACAGGATACTGATAAAAGAGGTCACATGAGTCTGTGGGGATGAGCAAAATTAACATGCTATTTCTGAAGGAGTGTGCACTTGGGTTGACAGTTTGAATTTGAAGCCTTTCAGTCAAATCTTTATTAAAGCAAGTTTATTCTGCAGTGTGTACACAAAACACTGTAGAAAATCAAACCAATAAATATCTTCATCTCTTAATGGCATTTCAGAATCAGATTATGAGGATGAGGCAGTTTGCAGTGCCAAGGTACACTACCTACAGGTCCGGGACCCTGATTTCAATAAAGAGTTAAATTAAAAATCAATCCATTCTTTTTGACAAGCATCTGTTTGGTAAATTATCATGTGCCAGTTTTTGTTCTATGGTCCTATTGATTTAGATAGTTCTATTGATTTAGAACAGTTTTGATACAGTTGCTTTCAGTATCATCATATCTTTATTAAGGTCTGGATAAGTTCTTAGGTTTTTGGGTTTTTTTTCTGTTAATCCTTCTAACACTTGATCCTTTCTCAAGCTAGACAGGTGGCAAGTTGACTTGATGTTCTTCATTCTCCTGTGTTCCACATAAAATTATCTTGCTTCACACTAAGTAAAGGTAATTGTTAAACTGGCATTTGCAATTTAAATTAAAGGCTTGACCCTTGATGGTGTCCCCTGATGTAGGCTTACTGCTCTGCCAGCTCCATTAGCCCAGCACAGCAGTCACAACATCAAGGATATCTTATTTTTGAATACCCAGGGTATTACTTTGTTATTCACACTGGGATTTCATACAGCATTTAAGGGAATTGATTATTTGCTTTCTGAAGATGTTCCAGTGAAAGCTGGAATTTTTTTATACCTTTCAGGCATACTGCATGAAAACACAACAGAATAATTTGCTGATATGTTCCTGGGTTTCAGTCTTCACATCTTAATACAAGAATACTTGAATTATGTACAGAGTGATGAGCATATACTGACAGAACATTAGGGCACACTTAATGTGGTAAGATCCAAGACCTCTAGCAGGCAGGCAGCTGTATTTCAAAGGTAGATCACAGAGTTTGGGGTTTTTAAAACAGTTTCTGTCCATCCCTATGGAGATTGGCATCCTAAATCCAAGGTGAAACTACATTCTACTGTGTCTCCACTGTTACACAGACAGCAAAATAGTATCTCTGGGCTGTCAATCCCCTCCTGGGATTATTCAAGGCTGTTCTGCCAATCCTCCTTTCATCATTGATATTAGGACAGTTCTCCCCTTGTTGCTCATGTCTCTGTGTGTAGGTCCTACCTTTTAAGCTTGTTCTTTGGCAATAGAGACTGTCACAGAATATACATTTGGCCATGTGTGCTTCGTTAGAGTGAGATCTGGGTGGCATCAACTTTTTGTTTTTGCTATCCTGTGTTCTGGTGAAGGAAATATGGGCATAGGGACCTGAGGAGAGCAACAGCAAACTCCAGTTACAGCCCTGCTCCAGATGGTCATGGGGCGAAGGACTGTGGTTGTAGTTTGTTCCTGCTGTGCAGTCAGATGTAGATGTGGCAGCCTGTGCATCATGACAGAAAAGAGGTGGGGCATGGGGGGATATTTCCTGAAGTTGCTTTGCTTGCCTTGGCATGTCTACCTGTAAAGCCATGTTCCACCCCTGTGAGAGCTGACAGAACTGAAGTTGTTAGTTGCTGGCCAGCACTGTAACTCTTCCCCATGTGGGACTTCCTCAGCTTTTGTGCAGGTGCAGATATCATAAACGTCACTTGCAGTGTAAGATTTGGAAGGCTGGGCTGTCCTCACACTGCCCAGTTTGTAGTATTTGATGTTCTCACAACTGTACCTGTATTTTCTTAATTGTGAGTGACAGCAGACACATTACTGTGCTGTATTCACAGACACAATTAAAAGAAAGCAAAAGCACATGGTAGGCAGCAATTTGAAAACCATGTCAGTCTCAATTTCAAAAACAACTGTAAGGTGTTCTCTCACTGTCAGTGTGAAGTGTAGTCCATATTTTTAAGCTGCTTTTGAAAATGAAACTTAGGCCTATCTTTTGAAGAACAATTATTGTTTCAGCAGAACTAGGGCTCTATCTAGGGG